TATTCGAGAATTAATACTTTCTTATAATTCTAGATTTATAAATTATCTAGCTAAAGGCATTTATTTATCTAGTTAAATAGACTATATTCGGAGTCTTTTTTCCTATTATCTTTAGTAGATACTTGCCTATTTCCTTAGCTATTTCTAGTTCAAATTTATTAGAAATAGAGAAGTAATTAATATTTTTAAAGAACTTTTTATTAAAAGTAATAGCCTTTTTATAATTCGTAAGGAAAATATAGCTAATATTTTAATATTCTTTACTAAGGTAGAATTCGCTATTTAAAGCTTTAGTAATAGCTAGATCTTTAGTATTACCTTTATACTAATTATAATTAATATTTCTAGAAGTAAAGTATCTGGCTAGCTAAGAATAAATAATTAGGTAAATAAGATACTTACTTAATATCTCGTGAAATTCGAGTTATATTAATAGATTTACTATTAAGAATTAAAAGGCTAAGATAAAGTAGCTATTACTAAGATCTCTATATATTAATATATTATCTTTTCTATTAAGAGCTCTCGAATATTAAGCTTCTTAATCTATTTTAGATAATTCTTTTTATAAATATAGCTATTAGTACCTAGATTAGTAATATTAGACTCAGAAGTAGGAATTATAGTATTAAATTAGAGCTATAGATTTGAGCGAAATTAATTAGAAATATAGTATTTATATTTATATTTCTTAATTTCCTAGTTTTTAAAAAAGAAATCCCGTATTTTTTTATTTACTTAAATAATAGAAATATACTTTTTACCTTTAGTAACTTTATAGATCTTAGTAACTAGCTTTAGAATATCTTTAATTTTTTATATATTAATAAAGAAAGTATTAGTAAATTACTAAATATATATTATATAGAAAGCTTTAAGGAATTCATTATTAATTCTATAGTATTCTTATTTATAAATAGGTCCCAAAATACTATTATATTTTTTTTTAAAAAATATATTTATTTTATTAAATAAGTATTAACTTCTATTTAGCTAGTATTTTATAGGTATACTAAATGCTTTTATTAAGTTCTCTAAACTTAATATCTTTAGTTTTCTATTTCTTAGTTCTAGATATAATTATAGAAATCTTTCTAGATAATATTTTTTCTTTTAAAATAAAGAATTTCTTCTTACTTTCTTTTATTTTATTAACCTTATATTTAGTCTAGTATTTAGATCTCTGCTATTTATTAGAAGTTTTAGGCTTAGCTTACTCTTTATTTTTATTAGGTTTTTCTTATCTAGTTATACTAGTTTTACTAGTTTTACTAGTAGTTTTCTTACTAGGCTTTATTAAATTAGCTTTATTTTTCTTAACTAGATCTAATTAAATTAAAGCTAAAATTATAATAGGAACCTATTTTTTAGGCTTATTTCAAAAAATAGAAAAAGGCTTATTATTATAAATTCCCTTAATTAGAATTCCGGAAGTATTAAAAATATATTATCTAGTCTTGAGATTATTAGCTAATAATAGCTTAAACTTTAATTCTCTATATTCCGAAATAGCTTTAGTATATTTAAGTATCTTAGTAATATCTAATTTAGTAAATATACTAGTATTCTAATACTTTTTATTTTTAATATATTCTAAAATAACTTTATTAATTAATTAAATAGCTTTATATACTAAAGCTTTTATTTTAAAAAGAGAATATAATTTCTTATAAATATTTTTACTAAGGTTATTATAAATATTATTAATATATTAGCTAAAAGCTTTATTATATAATATAATTTTATTCTAATTCTTAGTTTCTAGACTATTTATTATAGTCTTAATCTTATTAAGCTTTTCTTATTTATTTTTAAAAATATCTTTAATAATATTCTCGAATTTCTTATTATTAGCTTAGTAGTTTTTTAGTTTTTCCTTAGTTAATTCTAGTCTAATTCTATTTCTAATAAAAGTTTTCTATTTTAAGAGCTTATTATATATATTATTTAGCTTATCTAGAATATTTATATTAAATTTAGTAATTATAGCTATTTTTTCTAATATTAGTAGGCCTTCTATAATTACCTAAGCTCTTTTAATATTCTAAACTTTAATATTATTAATTTATAGGCTTTTAATAATACTATAACTTATAAGAACTAGCTATTATATTTTACTAACTTGAGAAATCTATTCTTTAGCTATTTTATTATTTTTAATAAGTTATAAAAGTATTATTAGTATAATAATTATAGGTTATAGAATTAAAGATTCTTAAGATTATAAGAATTTCTTTTAAATATATTCTAAAATAAAGAGTAAATTAAAATAGGCTTAAATTATATAAAAATATTATATATATTTGAGTTTTTCTTTTTTTCTAATAAGAAAATAAAGCTAAAATAGTAATATATATACTAGGGAAAATAGATATAATAATTAGATATATTTGAGGTAATATAATTATAAATTAGAAATAATTATAGAAAGTAAAATATAAAGTTAGGCTTTTATTATAGAAAAGAATATAATTAAAGAAATAATTAAAATAAGTTAAACTAAATAGTAATAATAGAGAAATAAGAAAGTAATATAATAGAAATATAAATATAATAATAATATCTAAAATATTAGAATCTAAAAGAAAATAATAAAAATTTTATAATATAAATATATTCTAATTTCTTATTTATTTAGAGATATTTCTATTAATTTAAGAAATAATATAAAAGAAGGGAAATAATATAAGAAATATATAAAAAATAAGATATATAAGTATATTAAAAATATTAGAAAAATATAAAATAAGTATTAATAAAAAAGAAATTAGAAAAATAGAATTAAGAAATAATTTAGAATAAAATATTACTTTTTTTAAAACTAATTTATATTTCTTCCAAAAGCTAATTATATTTATTTAATACTTATTAAAATCGACTTTATATAGTATAAAACTATTTAATTAGTTAGGACTTTAAAGTAATATTTATATTTATAAAAGTAATACTAAAAATATTAGAATATATAAAAAAAGAATTATAAAATAATATAAATAGGATTTATAGTATTATTATTAAATTTAGAATAATTAATATTAAAATTAATATAAAATATAAAAAGATTAGATATTCTAAATTAGTATTAATAATATAGGAATTATTTAGATAATATTTAATAATAAAAAACGGATTAATAATAAGAATTAGCAAATTATATTAGCTTTTTAAAGAAGTAATTAGTTCCTAGTAATAAAATAGTATTCTAACTAGAGAATAGATTTTATATAAGAGAAGTTCTCTTTATATAGAAATAGAAATATATAATATACTAATTAAGCCTTAATATAAGTTTTAAAAGTAGCTATAATTATATTAAAGAGGAAATAGGTTTTCTAATATAAGGTAGGCTTTAAATAGGCAGATCTAGCTTATCTAATATTTAAGAGATTTCTAGAATTATATATTATTAAGTATTTTTGGAAATAATTATTAGGTTTAATAAGGTTTCTCTTTTCTTTTATAAGGCTTCTAGTTTAGCTATTTTATTTATATATAACTTCTAATTAAGAAGTTTATTTAAATATTATAAGGAAAATTATAATAGTAATTCAAGTTAAAGTCGAGATTTATAAATATTATAATTAAGCTTTAGACTAATATAAGCTATAAGAATAGCTAGTTAAAAAAAAAAAATAAAGCTTTTAAAAGATTTCTAGTTTAGTAAAATATATATAAAAGGCTTTCTTTTTTCTTTTCTTTTTTTTTTATCTCTAAATATAGTTATTATTTATTATTATAATTCGGAATTAAGAATTTATAAGATAATCTCTTAACTTTCTATTTATTTTTATACTAAAAAAAACCCTTTATATTTAATTTCTAAGATCTAGTAATAGAATTTCATATATTAAGAATACTATCTAATAATAGTAATTAGATAATAATAAGAAATAAGTAATAGTAAAGTTTATTTAATTTCTAGAATAATAATCTAATAATAATATTCTCTAAAGGTTATAGATAATAATTAGAAGGAAAAATTAAAAGATATATAAAGAATTAAAGGTAATAAGCTTTATTTTAGATTAAGAAAAGCCCTTATTATTAGATATTTCCTTCTAGTTCTTTATAAAAGAAATATATTTTACTTTTTCTAATTCTAGTAATTCTAGAATATATATAATAATACTAGTAGCTTTCTTAATTTCCTAAGTACTATTTTGCTTATAGTATTCTATAATTATTTCCTTTTCTAGTTCTATATCTATTTTCACTTCTTTATATTGAGCTACGTTTGGACTACCCTTAAGTGGTTGGCTCCCGGGGCTTCCTGAAAAATACAGGTTATATAAGGAATACTAGAATCTCTCCTTTCTAGGGAATCGTATATCGGAATACGATTATATCCAAATCCTTAGGGCTTAGTTTAGGATAAGAGAGGAGAAGCTTAAGTACCTTTCTCTTTATTTTAGTAGTTCTGGAATATAAGGGGCTTTTATTACGATTTTTTAAAGCTCGGAAAAAGAGAAAGGGAATTCTTAAGGCTTTAGCTAGCTCTCGGGGCTTCCTAAAAATACAGGTTATATAAGGAATACCAAAAAAAAACCTGGCCTTACTTTACTTTTCTCTTTTTCTTCTCTTTACTACTCTCCCTTTTATTTATATTATGGACCCTTTCCGCTTTTATACTATCTGTAAGCAAAATCGGCCTGCTTCTGACTTTATTACGGAACGGGCTAAGGTATATAAGAGCTATAATTACTATCGAGTCTGTATTTTCCCCCTTTTCCTAGCTTGACTAACTAGTTAATAGGCCCGGTCGGCTACTAATCGTACCCAGTAGTACCCTGCCTTATAAGAACTCGATCCGAATACCCTCCCTACCTCCCGGTAATAACGACGGTCGATTACGGACGTCTGTACAGACGAGCCAGCCCTATAGCGCCAGTAACGGATCCGTTAACCGTCCGTTACGGCCCCAGTTTATATTATAGAGGATCCTCCTGCCGACCCACCTACTATACGGCCTCCTGCCTTCCTCTCCCGCTTCCGGCTAGCTCCCGTATATATGACTGGTCCGCTTACGGGTTACTATATAGCTTGCGGAGCCCTTTATTTTGGCTATATAGACGATTGCTTTGAGGCCTATTATAAGAAGGGTAACGTAATATTTCCTCTAATTCACAAGCCTCTTCTATACCTTTCTTATCTCTTTACGGGTAATAATCTGCTCTACCGGGCCTTCCGGACGAATATCCGGATATATAATTATACTTTTGCCTTTATATTAATTAGCTATAAGAAGGATACCTGGATTGACTTCTCTTATAGGATCCAGTACTTTTAGATCTATAGTAAACTCTTCTATTTCTAAGGCCTGCTATAGCCTGCTCTATATACCGAACCCTCCTTTATATAGCTCTTCTTTTATGATCCGCTCTTTGTAACTAATATACGGGCTACTAACTTCCCTTACTTAGATTATATAATTCTTTTATAGCTTACGGATATACTTACGGATTATAATCCGTTTATTATGGTCTATAAGATAGCCTATAAGCATCTTGCAAGTTAGTAAACCGATTTCCGGATCTTATTTAATCTATAAATATACTTAATTCTTGAGTCGGGTACTAATTATTATTATAAGAACCTCCTAACGAATAACGAGGTTATAGCCCTTATTCCGGGATAAGTATACGGATGCAAGCCGCCGTAATCTGGTACTTATGGTCCGTAAGGCAGGCCGCAAGCGTCCGTAAATATATACGGTTAATATTATATATATAGTATATATATTACTTTACTATATCTTGCTTTTCCTATATAGCGACCCGGGCTAGTACTATGGTTTGTAGTTACAGGACCGTAATAGGACCCATTAGCGGATATGGCTAGAATAGCGGGTCTTTTACCGGTATTACCTCTATATTCGTCTGGCCTTCTCCCTGCTCTTTTATACTAGCCGCCTCTTTTAGTAATATGTTATTAATATATATATTACCTGTAAGACTACCTCGCTTGACTAGCTCTGCTTATACTAGTAAAATATCCGTACGAATATATATATAGGACTTGTAGATACTCTAATCCGTAAGGATATCCGTATGGGTAATATTAGCCGTTACTTTATTCTCCCGTTAAGCTTTACGGGCAGTAATCGCTTTATATAATAGCTCTTTTAAGACTTAATAGCTATTATATAATACTTTGGTAAGCCAAGCTTCTTTATTATCTTTACGGCTAACCCGTACTGGCCTGAGATTACAGATTACCTCTTAAATGGGCAGTAAGCTATTAACTGTCCGGATCTCTTTTACCGGGTCTTTATATTAAAGGTAAGGGAGCTACTTGCAGACCTAAAGAATTACCTTTTCGGACTATATATAGGCCATATATATATAATTGAGTACTAGAAGCATAGCCTCCTGTATATATATCTGCTCTTATTTCTTAGGAGGGAAGCCGTCTTCTTAACTCCCGATTTAGTTAACGAAGTTATTTATACCGAGCTCCCAGACCCGTTATAGGATCTTATAGGCGAACTTATAACCGTAGTAACCAGTCAGATGTCTTACGGACCATATGGCCTCAAAGATAATCCGAAAGCCCTGTATATGGTCTATAAGACGCCTATAGCCCCGCTTATATACCAGAAGAGGTTCCCTAAGGCATTTGCGGCTACGATAATTATCTATAAGAATAGGTATTCCGAGTACCGGTACCGGGATAATGGCTATATGTTTACGGTCTGTAAACCAGGCTTTCCAGGCCAGGAAGTCGTCCGTAATAACTACTGGGTCGTTTTATATAACCCGTACCTTCTCTAGAAGTTCTGCTCCTATATTAATATTAAGGTTTGTATTTCCGTATAAGTAATCAAGTATATCTATAAGTATGTCTATAAAGGAATAGACTATATAACTATTATAGTCTCAGGAATAGATAATAAGATTACCTAATACCTTTAAGCTCGGTATATAGGCCCTATAAAGGCTTTCTGGTATCTATTTGAGTATCTAATATACCAGGAGTTCCTCCCGGTCTAGTACTTGGTAATTTACCTCCCTGGGTAGTATATGATCTGCTTTACGGCCGACTTCTTACCCGAGCAGATTACGGACCGGACTATAAATACCTGCTTGACCTTAATAGCCTTCTTTAAGTATAATATAATATATAAGGACAGCCGCTAGTACCTCTACTATGAGTTCCTATAGTACTTTATATAGGTTACTAAGACCCGGATATAGAAGCCCTATAAGCAAGGGTATAGTATTGGCCGTATTTATTACTATAGCCCAGTTTCGGGCAAACGGTTCTACTTACGGCTCTTACTAACGGTCGTATACGGTCTGCGGTCCTTTAACGAGCTTTACTTGGTTAAGGGCGTCCGTTATCCTATATACTATACTACCTATATTGCCTGCGGCTTGGCAGAAAATAATCAGGAGTGGTTCCAGTACTTTAATAAGGCCATTTTATTAATAACCGGCTATAGTTTACGGATACTTTTTCTTATAGGTATCCGCCAGTAGCTAATTGCGGATATATAAGTGATCTGGGACCGGTATAAGAAGCATTTCTATAATAACTTGGCCCGTAAGCTCGCCTATAATCCGTTAATTGACTTCCTATTATCCTTGGTTAATCCTTACTATAATTACGGCCTCTTCTTGCTTGGTTTTGGCCTTACGGATCTCTAGCGGATACTAACAAATATTGTCCTGCCTGAGAATACCTTTGACTAGACCGTAAGCTACTATATGGCTAATCTGCGGATTAATCATATCTATAAGATATTACTGGCGACCGTAATATAAGCCTAGCTAAATATAGACTAGTACTCTTGCTTTCAGACGATTATGGCGGTAATTACGGATGATTTACAGACGGCCTACTTCTACTTATAAGGCCCGGGCAGGACCGGTAAGACGTTTCTTTATAAGACCCTCTGCTACTATTACCGTAGCCAAGGTAAGGTAGTCCTGTATATAGTATTAACGGGTATTGCGGCTCTCCTTCTCCCGGACAGACGTATGTCTTACTCCTAGTTCCGGATCCCGTTCGAGCTTGACGAGTTATCCGTAAGTATAATTACTAAGATAAGCCGGCTCGGGGTACTCTTGTAATCTATGGACCTGATTATCTGGAACGAGGTATTCATATAGTATAAGTACTGCTTTGAGATGGTATACCGGCTAATGGTCGATTTACGGTCGGTTACGGATAACGTTCTCTTTAGAGGAATGCCCGTAATCCTCGGGGGGGACTTTGCCCAGATCTTATTAGTAGTCCCATATGGTTTGCAGGCTAATACGGTACGGGCCTGCCTATAGTAGATATAGATCTGGTTATGGCTCCGTTAGTTATTATTACGGATTAATATACGGGTCCGTAATAACCTGTCCGAGCAGGATTTTATAGACTAGATTAGTAGTCTACTATATAACCCGTCTTTAAATAGGCAGATTATACTCCCGCCTTTTGTTCTATATACCTAGTTAGTTACGGACCTAATTAATTATATTTACTCGTAAGAGCGACTCTTGCGGGCCCCGTATAACTACCGGGCCTTTAGCGGACGGATAATTCTATTAACCCTGAATAATACGGTCCGTAAGCTTAACTAAATAATCCTGGATATATTCCCTGGCCAGGAACGGATGTATTTTGTAGTAGATTCGACTAATATAAATGAGGCGGATCCTGAGATTATAGAATTACCTCTAGAGGTCTTATAGAGTATCTGTTTACCAGGTCTGCCCCTCTCTAAGCTATAACTTAAGATTGGCGTATCCGTAATACTCTTGCGGAATCTCTATCTATAGGAAGGGCTTTATAACGGGTTATGGATATTAATTTATAGCTTTGGGAGGTTCTCGATTTATATACGGCTACTGGATAGTGACTTTAATGGCCAATTACGGACGATTCTACGGATTAAGCTCTAGTTAACGGATTAGTAACTGTCTTTTATATTCTCCTATAAGCAGTTTCTACTTGCTTTATCCTTTATAATAACTATTAATAAGTTATAAGGCCAGTCATTTGAGGCAGTAGGAGTGGATTTACGGTTCCCGGTCTTTTCTTACGGCCAGTTCTATATGGTAGCCTTACAGGTAACCTTATAAGCAGGGCTTTATATTCTTTTACCCCCTAATATAAACCGTACGAGTAATATAGTATATCTAGAAATATTATAAGGTCTTGCTTAGCTTTTGACTTACTTACGGGTGACTTTGTATATTTACAGGCTATTTTTCTTCTTATATTATCCGTAAAGGCCTTTACTAAGTTATATACCTCCTTTAATTCCAACCCTATTTGGGACGAGTTTAGGGCAAAATTATTACTGGCCCCGGAGCTTGTATAGGGCCGCTAGTAATAATTTTAGTGGAGCGGCCCTAAACTTGTAAAATATTTATTTATAGATATATATTTATTATTAATTTTGTTTTTAGGGAAATACTAGAATCTATTTCTTTTAATAAATTACTTAAGTTAATTCCCGGTATATATTTTTTAAAATATAATATTATTAAACTTTTCTAGTATATAGTATTCTTTTAGTTAATTTATATATCTTATTTTATAGTAATATATACTAAGTTTTAGCTAAAATAAATAAAACCGCGATTTTTCGCATTCCCGTCTATTTATTCTTTTATCCAGAACATTAATTATATTACTATAATATATGCCTTTATGCGATATTAATAGTAATTAATATGGTAGAGGCCCTGAGCTTACTCCTTACTAAAGGGAAAGGATTAAGGGCGCTCGTATTACCGGTATGTTACTATATAAAATCGAGCTATTAATAAAGTATTCATATGGTACTATCAGGGATATATTTGCTCTTGAAACCCTATATACTAATAGCTCCTCTATGCCTCGTAAAGGCCGTCCTCTTCTCTATAGTAATCGAGATCATTAAATAATACTCAAGAACCTCTGCTCTTACCCAAAGTTAATATTCTAGTAGTATTATAAGGATATAGGCCTTATAATAAGTAATACCTATATTAAGAACCTTGTATATACGAATAACCTTTACTACTAGTATATAAAGAAGAGGCCAGAGCTCAAGCCTATATATACTACCGCAAGGCTTCTCTAGTATAAAGTTCGGAGATATTGGGATATTAAGTGGTAGAGGACATACTAGTAAAGTAATGAGTATTCTATAGAGCGGGGTAATAGGGTTAAGCAGGAGTAATATTAGGGTATACCGGAAGATAAATAGAAGCCTGAGATAGTTATAACTTATAAGACTAGAAAGCAGATATATATAATGGTTTGGGTATCCTTTTGGGATAGGGGAAAGAGGTATTCTCTCTTTAT